TCTGGACAATAGACATGCCAGCTGTGGTGGGGAGGCCCAGGGGCCACGCCAGGCGGGGCAAGGGACCCTGGTTGGGACGCAAGGCTGGGTCGAGTGATAATTACAATTCTGTGGTTGCAACGAGGCCCTGAAATCAGGCTGGAAGATTCTTTTAGCTTGGTCAGACGATCACATCCCCTAAATGCTCGCACAAACACACACGCATGAAACGGGGAAGAGGTGGAAAAGCACCCCTGTCTCGGAAAACCTCACCTATCAAAGGGCAGAGTGTGGATCAGTAAGTTATGATGCCGTCTCTGTACTTGGAAGGTTGCTGTTTTTTGTTTTTTTTTTGTTGATAAAAGCGTCTGCTAATTAAACGTAAATATACCCACTTGAAAAAGAACCAAGCACCCCACACATGTGTGCCAGAAGATGTGTGCCAGTCAAGCAAGAATGTCAGATTAGTCCCAGGGAACAGAGATACCTCTTTGGGTTGCTTCTCACGTAGAGCTGCTTGATAACCCTGCAGCCCCACTGGAACGGTAGCGAAGTGCAGTGTGATTCCATCCTCCTTTCAGGGGTGACTGGGTCCATGCGTTAATATATTATTACCCTCCCCGTGCTGCTTTCCATTAATAGATCTTTTTTAGCTGTTTACTCATTTGTGTCATTATTTCCATTCAGGGCATCGTTAGCCAATAAGAGGTGAAAGTGCTGGGGAAGAAAATATGGGCTTTTCCAAAACATGGCACCGGCCAACCCAATAAAGAAGTATCGACGACAGACCACGTGCGGAGCCGGACAGCATCAGACAGCGATGGCCTGCGAAGGACAGATCTCAGCACAGTGTTACAAAGTCACCAAGATGGGGGAGGAACTCAACACTCAGAGTACCCAGCATGCACTGCAGGTGGGGCAAAGAAGTCAAGCGGCTTGCTCTAAACTGTAAAAAGGCAGGATGATTGGTGATCCGTAGGACTGCGTAGCACGCTGAGCAGAGAAAAGGAAGGCTTGTGTACCTGGCACTCAAGGCCTAACAGAAATGGGCCTAGTCAAGTCAAGTGGGCTTTACTGTCATACCTCGATACACGGGTATACAGTGGCACAAAATGACATTACCTCAGCATCAGGGTGCAGCATACAGACAGGAAGTGACAGGGGGAGGATTTTCACAGGACTTGGCGTGCGAAACACTTGTACCTGGGCATTAATTGGAAGCTCAGCCTAGCGGTACTTACGCTTAGCCGAGTCCTCGACAGCCGTATGTTTGTAATGTGCTATTTGCCTCACTTGTACGTCACTTGGGATGAAAGCATCTGCTGAATAATAGTAAATGTAAATGTAAATGAAAAGCAGCACATTGCAAAACAGAGGGGCTGGACCTAAGGGTTTATATGCACAGTGCGATAGTCCAATGGTCCAATTGTCTGCATGTCAGCAGCAGCTGAGAGCAAAAACAAAAGCAGGTTTAGGGGTCGTGTACCAGGCCCGGCTATCAGAACCCAGAAGTGTCCCAGACCTGCTCCCTTGCCAGGCCGAGCAGAAAGCAACAGTACTGGGTAGCTGTCAGAAATTCTCCCTACGTCCCCAGATACTGACAGTGGGCCTGAAACAAGCCATCCTGAGACAAGGCGCCCCACTAAGGACAGGTTCAGGGGTATAAAAACTGAAACGGTATCCACTAGGATCCCATTAGGCCAGGAATAAAATGCCATGAGCACACGGTGTTACCGTTTCCCCTTGGTGATTACGATGTAACGGATAAGCACACAAGCCCTTTGTTCCTGCTTAGATCTCTATGACGACAGACTGAGTCGACTTCGCCGTGCTCCCCTACAGCCTGCTCAGCGGCGGGTCCCTCACGCCCCGCAAAGCTCCAGCTGTGAGATGCACCCCCGTCCCGTAAGGGAACTCTGTGCAAGGCGACGGCAGCCTGCAGTCCATTACCGTGACATGTTCATACTCTCCGCCGTTAGTGAATCGTCTGTCAAACACGCACCAGTGATAGCATGAAGTCAATCCCAGGGTAAATGGGCCACTGCTCATTGAGAAAGACGTGCACACACACACACACACACACACACACGCATGCACACATTCACTGCATGTGCACATACAGAAAGACTGGAACAAACATAATGAGTAAGTATTATCACACATAAACATATTTTGGTGACTGTTCTGCTTGAGTAACTTGCATGTGACAAATAAAACCCTTAAATCCCTTGAATCCCTTAATAGACTGGTTTTATACATTATTTTGCTAATATATGAATTGCCTAATTGATCATTCGGAAAGATGGATTATCAATTACTATCTAATTTATGATTTGCTGTATTCCTTTAATGTGTTAATAGTATCACCATGATTAGCTGCAAGCTAAGGTTTTATTAATGGAGAGAAATTCTGACATATTGTGCCAAATCTCCCTTGGGCAACCTCCCCTTTTTCCATGAATTAACTAAATCCTGTAATTAAATAAAGCCTGGAATAGCTGTAGTTTTTTATGGTTGAGAAACTATTAACAAGTAAAAGTTTATGAATGAAAGAACTTTATTCGGTCATGAACTTGAGTTAAGAATGACTTCAGCTACACTTCAATTCAGCAAGAGGCCAGTCCAGCAAATAGCCAATCCAGCAAGAGGCCAGTCCAGCAAATAGCCAATCCAGCAAGAGGCCAGTCCAGCAAATAGCCAATNAGAGGCCAGTCCAGCAAATAGCCAATCCAGCAGGAGGCCAATCAAGCAAGAGGCCAATCAACTAGGGCTGCCACTAGCAACTATTTTTCTATCAATTAATCTATTGACTATTTTACCAATTGGTTGATTAATCTAAGCAATTAATTTTCCTCTAGAAAATAAAATTGACTTACATTTAAGTATAAACAAATTGCATGCCACTCTAGATAATATACGGACATTGTTTTCACCCACAATTTGATAAGCAGATTAGTAGTGTGCCTAAAATATTAAGGAGAGATATATTGTGACATATAAAGTTAGTAATCTGTATAAATTCAGTATATCCTTATGTTTATTAAATTTGATTAGCGGAGCATACCACATGTGACTGTTTTGGGATACCGCGGAAGTGTAAGTACTGAAGTCACAGTGAAGAAAGGGCAATTCAACAGCCACACATTTTAAAAGAGGAGATATTGTGGTTAAACAGGGTAAAAAGACATTGGTTGAGAACGGTAGGCCTACTTTTTGCAGTTTAAAGTCCGACAATTTTTTTTTGGTAAATATAGTTATCATTTTTATTTCAGTTCACAAGTTTTTATTTTATTAAATGTGCATTCTATTTCAGTTTTAGTTTACCACAATAACACTGGTCCCAACAAGTCCAACGTCCATGAACGGACACACACTGGCACCATCAATCAATGTAGAATAAGCCCAGATTTTAGCCTAAACATTTTCAAAAACACTTTTTTGAAATTCTCAGGTAGCAGGCAGACAACTATATGGTTTTAGTAATATGAATGTTTTTAGCAGCTACAAAGACAACAGTCATTACAAAGCTCTCATTATTAATGGTAATTTAACAAACAGGCCTAGACAACTACGTTTTGCCTATTCTGGTGGTCCATCATCCAGAAAAGCGCTGTGCGTTTCCACTTCAGGTGCTCGTGCGCAGCACTAGTGACTCTGTGGTATGCCATTGAAACTTTATGCATCCACCTTTTTGTTTTGTGACAGTTTGAACTACTCCCATAATTATGCAGCGATATTAAAGGAAAACATTTGTGTTAATAAACCGAAGTGTTTTAGGAATAAAAAAAATCAAGCAAATGGCCAATCAAACAAGAGGCCAATCCAGCAAGAGACCAATCCAGCAAGTGGCCAATCAAAGAAGAGGCTAATCCAGCAAGTGGCCAATCCAGGCCCAGTGGACACCAGTCAGTCTAGGATTCATATCACAGGAGTTTCCCACCTTTATGGAGATGTCACTCTGCTCTATACAGTATTGCATGAAATACCCAAGAAAGTCAAAACACACAACCCTAAACACCCTGACCCTGAAACACAATGGCCTGCCCCCAAACAGCTCCCTACAGGTCAGGTCAGGTGGGGGAGAATGCACTGATATAGCACATTGTCATGCCCACCACAGATGAAACACTTAAATATCCCAGTTGGTGACTCCCCAGACTGACACGCAGTCCAGTCCCACCCTCCGGAAATGGCCGTCTGTCTGCCACAACCAGGTGCTATGTGGGTGCCTGGTCCAGCTGCTACGGTCCTCAGCAATGAGGATTCTGTGAGCCGAATTACCCTCAGGGAATTGCACCACATGTTCCTAGTGCCATAACTCACAGTGCAGGCAATGTGCCTCATTTGGGACTCCCTGAGCAACTGCTCGATCGGCATAAAGTCAAGCCAACGGTACCCAAGCATTCTTCGAAGAGACTCAGTACCAAAGGAGACCAGTCTTCGTCTCAGGTCACTGGATAGCGTCCATGTGTCACAGCCATACACTAAAACAGGGAGCACCAGGACTCTAAAAATGTGGACCTTTGGGAGCGCCACACACCCCTTTCCAGTGACCTCATGACCCCATATGCTCTCCCAATCCATCTACTGACTTCATAGGAAGAGTCAAGAGAGCCATGAGTGTCGGTGCCTAGGTAAGTGAACCTTCCAATGCAGTTGACATTCTCTCTGCAAACAGACACACTGCTTTGATGGCTGTGCCCAAGAGGTCATTAAAGACCTGGATCTTGGTTTTGATCCAGGACACTCAGACTCCTTGCTCAATCCCTCGAGAGCCCCTATTAGAACCTCCATTGATTCTGAGAAGATCACAGTTTCATCAGCAAAGTCAAGATCGGTAAATCTTTCGTCACCAACAGATGCTCTACAGCCACTGAACCCCACAACTCTGCCAAAGACCTTTTGAGGAGGTGCTGACTTACATTACCATCGATGCCATCCCCCCCCTGCTCCCAACCCCAGGCAAGCTTCACCCCCAGCACTGAAACCTGTGGGGCAAAACCCCACAGAGGCACACTCACCCCCAGCTTGCGGCTCCTCATCCGCACGTAGCCTTGCTTGACGATGTCGTTGAAGTTGGAGGCCATCTCACTGGGGGTGGGGGGGCTTTCATCCAGTCACTTTCTGCGGCACTCTTTGCCAATGTACCTTGTTCTCCTTCCTCCTCCGTCACTCCCTTGTTTATCCTAGTCCTGGCTCTCCCCCATGGCTGCTTGGCCTCCTCTTCTCCCTATTCCTGGAGGACATAGAGAAGCCATCACTCTTACAGATGAACAGGAGCATGCATAGGTCACCTAAAAGCACAGGCAGGTCACTGTATCCACCAGCTTAGTTATTGTGCTTTAGTTAGATCCAAACATTGCAGTGGCCAAATTCGAGCCAACAGATCCCACGGACGCCGAGCGCTATAGTTGATCTCCCGGCTGAACTTGCCGGAATGACGTCCTGAGGCTCATACTCACTCTAATTTGTCATGCTTATCCTACCCTTTGCTCTCACATTTCACACTCGTCCAGGCCTGAAGATATCCTGAGACTAGCTCATTTTCCACGGAACCTCGGAAGCCCTGACCCTCGGCCGGGACGTCTCGTGCTGGCAGCATTGTGACCAAACGCAAGGGTTACAAAAGAAATGAAAACTAACGTGGACCTTGAGCCAAGGGGGAAATTCTGGTGCATACAGCAGCAAGAACATAGTGCACAGTAGAACATACATATTATAGTGCCAAACAGACAAGACGCAAAGACAGTACACAGTGCAAACAAAGTAAATATAGTGGAAACAGATTTAAAAAGTACATAAAATGTAAATGAAGCTTTACAGTAGTTGCATAAGTGTGAGAATGAGTATTTTGGAATGTGTTTTTTCACATATCCCATCATGCTCTCCATTGACAAACAAACACACACACACACATACAGTATATATATAGAGAGTGAATTTGGGGGCTGAGCACTGGGCCAGCTGTCCATCCCTCACCCCTGGAGCACTTTTCAGGGTGTCCTTGCCTAAGGACCCAATGCAGATGTGGCTATTTGGCCAAGCACAGGATCCCTGGCCAGGGATCGTGGGTGGTGACCTTCTGATCACAGCCAGAGAGGCTGAACCTGCGGAGCTGCAAACCACCCCCAACCGCAAACACCGAACCTCCTACACCATGAAGATACAGACAGACTGATAAATACACAGGACCCTGACACTGTGACATCATAACTGCAAGCCCACTAATCTTCTGTAAATCTTCTTAGCAACAATATACAAGAGCTCTTCTTGTGTCCAAAGCCTATTTCAAATCAAATTTCTCTATGAATTCTCTGACTAGTTTTAAATATTTCAATAACTGATAAGCTAACATATGATTTCAAAATTAACTGTATGGCATCTGCAGAATAATTTGCTTGTGCCCGTTAAATCAATTAAATTTTATAAAATTATGTATTAATTTGTATTAATGTGTAGTATTTTCATATCATTATAAACCAGAATGGAATGAATAACAAGACATATTTAATACTCTTTCTCACTCTGTGTAAAAATTTATTCGGATTTATTGTGACTCATTATCACAGCACTCATGACTGTAATAAAGGCCAAGTGCTTGCAGGACAATGTGTCTCGGATGCAGGAGATGACGACCAGGAGCTCATCTTGAACATGCAGTTCAAATCTGCTCCATATAGACCTTCACAGCGCACGGCCCAGTCCTGGATTCGGCACTGGGAGATAACAGGGAGGTTTGGGAGCTGCATTCATGGATAAATGTGGTCTCTCTTATCCCCAAATCCAGACACCACGATCGACGAGGTCAGAGGCAGGCAGGAAGCTGAAAACATGCACTGTGGCACCCCCCACTACTCGAAACTCACACACCCCCGGCCAGGCTCCAGGTTCTCTCTGAATGCTCATCTGTGTTAAAAGCAATGGAGCGTAGGTGGATGAAACTAAAGAGAATCACAGTGTGTAGCACAGCGGCTAAAGAAGAGAACCTGTGAATTTATGGGGCTTGTGTTCCAAGATGGAGTCCTGCGGTCATGTCACTCCCGAACTGCTTGTTCACGCCGGGGTTTATTTAGATGCCAGACTCTTGCTATAGTCCTACTCGGTCAACATGGCAGCCAGACCTGGAGTCATTCTGTAAATCATGAAGGGAAAAAACACCTTCTGCAGAAGCCTCACACACAAGCCACTCGCTGTCACCGCGCCGGCATAAAGCTGGCATCTGAGTCCCGGCAAAAAGTGCAGCACATTCATGCAGCCGGGCTCCACAGGAATCTAGGGCCGGATTCCAGCTACGCCCACAGGACACAAAGGGATCCGGGAGCTGGTGCTGCTTGAGTGGCTGAGGCCTCCACAGACCATCATGGTGGGGGGGAGGAGGGGGGCATTGTGTAATTACTGGCAAAGAAGAGAGACAGACAGAGAGGTAGGCAACTAGACAGGGAGATATTCAGACAGAAAGACAGACAGGCAGGCAGACAAATGGAGAGACAGGCATTCAGACAGGCAGAGAGACACACAGACAGAAACAGAGATAGAGAGACAGGCAGACAGAAAGGAGGAGAGAGACAGACAGAGAGGCAGATTGACAGGGAGGGAGACAGACAGACAGAACCAGAGAGACACAGACAGGCAGAAAGAGAGAGACAGACAGAACTGACAGGGAGGGAGACAGACAGACAGAACCAGAGAGACACAGACAGGCAGGCAGAAAGAGAGAGACAGACAGACAGACTGACAGGGAGGAATGGAGGGATACAGACTGAAAGCCAGAGATAGAGAGAGACTGACAGGGAGGGAGACAGACAGACAGAACCAGAGAGACACAGACAGGCAGGCAGAAAGAGAGAGACAGACAGACAGACTGACAGGGAGGAATGGAGGGATACAGACTGAAAGCCAGAGATAGAGAGAGAATGACAGGGAGGGAGACAGACAGACAGAACCAGAGAGACACAGACAGGCAGGCAGAAAGAGAGAGACAGACAGACAGACTGACAGGGAGGAATGGAGGGATACAGACTGAAAGCCAGAGATAGAGAGAGAATGACAGGGAGGGAGACAGACAGACAGAACCAGAGAGACACAGACAGGCAGGCAGAAAGAGAGAGACAGACAGACAGACTGACAGGGAGGAATGGAGGG